GCTTGCTGCACCTCCCTGCTCCTAGGCCCAGGTCTCCAGAGCTGCTGCACCCGCCGGGCCTGAGGGCACGGACACAGGGATGGCTTTACTGAGCTGCTTCAGCACTCGTACTTGTTACCCATACCCCTTCACCAGGCACGGAAAGCAAGGAACTGTGCCAGGAGGGCAGGCTGAAGTCCCTCCTGACCTTAGGTACGGGGTGAGCGCACACGGTGAAGCCCTTTGCCTCACCAGAGGATTTACCCAGCCCGGTATGATCCCCCCTGTGCAGAGCCCTGGGACAACACCACGTGGAAGCCCGCTGAGCTGGGAGCACGGGATCAAAATATTTACAGGGCTTCTGCACATCTGCAGCAGGAATCCTTCTCCGGCTGCCAAAGGCTGCGAAAAACTGTAATGGTTGCCTGGGTGGCTCTGGCACATCTTGTACAGAGCTGACAGATGACTTTTTCTCATTTATTAGTGTGCCCCTTTGCTCTCCAAAAGGGATAATTGCTGTTGCCAGCCTAGCCTGCTGCTTATCTTCCTCTAGCTCTTGCATCTTGCAGAAACAGGGGGATGAAAGGAAGGAACACCTGTGTGCAAGCCTGTGAGGAATGCCTGCTTCCCTTGCAGTAACACCTGAACCTCATACATCCCCCGCTGTACCTTCTCATCCTGACAGTCATTTTCAGCCCTTTCTGGATATCTGATCAATCTGGACAAGCAGAATGAACCCATCTAACTAATACTTGCATATTTCCCCCTCTCTGAATATGTCCCTGAGCTGACACAGATGCTGCTATCCACCCCTGTCACAAACAAGAAAGCTTTGGCCAGCGGGATGATTTTCTGGTGAAGCATGTGCTGGATGCGTGACCTTTGTGGGTTTATACTGAAGAAGCTTCTGGATTCCTTTAGACAAACAAATCCCTTAACAAGCAGGATTTATGCTTGATCTGTAGTCTTTGTGCTGCTAACCAGCTGCCACGCTTTCTCCTACCAACAGCAGGTAAAGTGCTTCTTATATAGTGTGCAAGGGAGCTTGTAATGGGCTGTGGGACCCTTAGGGGTAAAACACGGCACAAAACGGTGCTGTCAGTGCGTAGTCTTGGCTTGCCAGGAGATGTGATTCTGAGACCTTCTTGTATTTGCTGCAGCTGCAGAGAGTGACTATCAAGTGACTTATTCTGCAAGGGCCTTTGGCTGGAAGGAGTTTTGTAGAAATGAATGATTGGAGGTGCACGGCCAAGATTTGCTTTCCACAAAAGCCTCAAAACAAATTTTGGAGGCTATTTAAAACAAGTTCTTACTTTCCAAACGGAATGCCTTCCCTAGGGAAAAAAAAAAAAAAAAGCAAGCCTGGGATGAGCAATCTAACCAGGGCGAGCCCTTGGAGGTGTCTGGCTCGGCAGACTGAGGAGATAACATCCTGCCATGGCTGAGAAGGGGGTGGGATGGGTTCCTGGGGTGAAATTGCCCAGGAGCACAGCACAGCCACTCACTTTGCATTGCAAAGCTTTATCATCTCCGCACAGATTACTGGAGCCAAAAATAGCTGCAGCTTAAAGCAAACAGTTTTTTGAGCACGCTCTGCCCTGCTGGCACCCAGCCCGCACCGAGCCCCTGGGCCAGCCCTCGTGGCCCCACGCTCCTTGGCACTAGGCTGGGCTCCCAGCCCCTGGGGGTGCTTCACTAATGAGCTCAGCCTTGTTAACGCTTCTCTGAGTTCCACTTGTTGAGGAACTTTTCTGGGTTAACAACTCCTGTAATAGCAAAATTGGTCTGAATGTCAAATAATTCACCGAGACACCCACTCTCGTCCTTAATCTAAGCAACCTGTCCTTCCTGTGGCAGTTTAAAGGGTGGCTCATCGCTAATGCTGCTTCTACCTGCTAGTTTCTCTCCTTCTCATGAATCTGAGTACAAGATGTCATTTGAGGGCTTAAGACATAAGCATTTTCCTGAGGGAGCCCAGCAGACTGTTGAAATATGTTTTGCATTTTTTGATCCAAAGGTTATTTAAAGTATTTGTTTTGGGGAGTGGAAATCTGGAAAAAATCAGTTTACCACATTTTTTCCATGTCTAATTTGTGCCATTCCGCATTTCCTTGCGATCTTGATGACATCAAGTGACACAGAGAGCTCAGCGCCTGGGAAATGCCATGAAAGTTGCTCTTGCATGAGGACATTTGACGATACAAGTGAGGGCTGTGGCAACACGAGCTTCGGAGGGACACGAAGCTCAGGCAGCCAAACGTTCAGGTCAGAAGCAGGTCAGATCCTCCTGCAATGACAGTTTGGCTCCTTTGGCTTCGGAGCTCCTGGACAATCCTTTGTGCCGATGCTTTTTCACGCTGGAACACGCAGAGCATGAGCAGCACTGCAGCACTGCTCTGGGGATTGATTTCTGAATGTTAGTACCCTTTGGGATACTCTCACCTCATTTGGGGATGTGCCCTACAGGACTGCTCCTTGTCCCTCTTCCTTTTGGTCACCCTTCCTTTTGGGCAGCTGCTTGCTCCTCACAACAGAGCAGAGGAGTTGGTACCTGCACAAAGTCACAGTCCCATCCCCTCCTTGTGGTGTTGCTGTCCCCAATGAAAAGCTGCTAACAGCTTAAATAAAATAAAATAAAAATCACCACAATCCTCTGCAGACCAACTGCACTACCAACACTAGTATAACAGAGCAAAACCAAGCCTCCCGTTGTGCAGGGTGGTGATGGCATCAGTGCCATCCCTGGGCCATGCAGGGTGGCACAGCGCAGAGCAGCTGGACGCAAGAGGCAGCAAGAACCTCAGCAAAGAGGAGCAGATTAGTCAGCTGGAGTAAAAGCCATAGGAAAGTAGAGAAAGCCACAAAAGGCTGATTGTGGCTTCGGCTGAATCTGCTCAGCACTGCAGCACAGTCTGCCATTCAGAGCGGGCCATGCCAGGCATCTATAACGTCTGCTCCCTATTGTGAGAGGAACTGCAGTTATTCCTTTATTCATAGCCCACAGCTCAGGATGAATGTCCTGGGGTGCCTGTGATGCCAAAGCCTCTGGCATCTTGTACAGAGCGATAGGATAAGAGATGGTGAACCTCAGAAGTAGCCAGAAGTTGGGGTGGATTTCCAGAGAAAAATAACAACTTTCATTTAAAAATACCAATACATCGAATACAACGAATACATCGAAAGCATTCTTAACCTAATGCATTAAGATTTCAGACAAACTGAAAACTATTTGGCATCTCATGGCTTGGTTTTTCCTTGTGGAAAAAAAAATGCTCCGTAGAAAACACTTTAATCCCAAAGTACATTTTTCTACTTAAGAGTTTTGATGGAAAATGTTAGGCCAGTCCTTGCAGGGATGGACCTGGATGGAGCACCGTCAGGACACGGTGTGGGGAGGGAGAAGAGAGCTCTCCTGATGGGTGCTCCTTGATCCCAGGACCAGGCACAGGACTGGAGGTTTGAATACGTCAAATAGTTAGCAGACACCGTATTTATAAAGCTCACGTGCTGTGTTCCTGGATTTCTGAAGTGTTTTGCTACTACCACTCCTATGTGCTGCACGGGTTGCTGCCAAGGCAAGGCCCAGCTGCTGGTGGGGCAGCACTCGTATCTCTGCAAGATCTGGCCTCCAGAGCCTGCGGTCTGAGAGTCAGGATAAGCACTACAGCCTCCTGGATCGCTTTCAAATATGAGCTGGAGTAAAAGCAGAAACCTTCAGCTCTTCCAAGGCGGCCGAGCTGCCTCCCGAGGCCGCGGCCACCTTGGCACAGGGGCAGAGCCCTCCTGGGCCCTCTTGCCCGGCAGTGCACCGCAGCCAGCTCCTTGCCATCACCGCCGGGTAAGTAATAATGCATGACCCAAAAGCACTGGGGAGAGATTAGTTTCAGTCAAGTGATACATCTCTGGAAATCAAACTGTCTTCCCAGAGCTGGTTTTGAAATAAAATAGAGGAGAATCGAGAGGTGGAGCTGTAAGAGGTTAGTGTGGCTGCACTGAGCGCAGGGATGTTTTGTTTTATTGAGGTTCTTTCCCCTTCCTTAGCACCTCCTTAGAGCCGTCAGGGTGTTTCCTGCACTGCCAGCTGCTTTTGTTGGTATTTTTATCTCTTCCTGCATGCGATGGCAGGGCGTGGGTATCTGCCATCACCAGCAGCTTGCAGGAACAGGGCTCGTGGCTGGGAGGGGACGGCTGGTGTCTGCTCACCAGGGTGGGCAGGAACACTGCTGTCGGGCTTGTGCTCTGCAAGGTGGCAGCCTGGGAGCACAGTCCTCCAGCTCACGCTGCTCACTGGGCTCTCAGCCCGAAGTTAAACCTCCTGTGGCTCCAGCAGGACTGGATCAAGTTCCCAGCAAATGCCCTCCAGCCAAGTCATGCCCTCTAAGTCTCCCCTTTACAAGGCCGCGGGCAGTAGCATCCTTACAGCAGGGAAATACACACCCTCCCAGTAGCATCCTTACAGCAGGGAAATACACACCCTCCGCTCTGCTGGAGGAGCAATCAGCACTAATGAGCCCTGGTTCCAGGCTGGGCTTGGGGTAGGACACCCCACTTGGGTGCCCACAGCTGCCCAGCAGGGCTGTGCCAGAGGAGGACAGGCAGGACAGCACTGCCATCAGCTGTGTGTGACTTCTGTCACCCAGAGCCGCCTCCAAGGCGGATGGGATGCAGGGAAGTGACACTACCCAGGGTGACATTCCTGGGCAAGGCTTCCTCTCCTGGAGCAGCCGGAGTTTGCCAAGAGCCCCCTGCTGCCCTCCACAGCGGGGTGGGCGCAGAGGCAGGTGCTTGGCACGCAGCGTTGCCTCGCCATGAAGACCTCCCCCCTTCCATTCGGATGCTGTCACCAGCTCTGCATTTCACCCCCAAATAAGGCTGTCACAGGGGCAGATGAGCCCAAGCACACTTGAATTTCACCAAAGATACCCCTCAGGAGCCCACGGTGCAAAAGGCGCTCCAAAAAGACACGGAGCTATTTCCCTGGGAGGCTCTTCCACCCGACGAAGCCGCCCAGGCGGTGTCGGGTGCGATGGAGCCCGTGGCTCGGAGGGGACGAAGGGCAGGGGGCAGCTGAGCCGCGCATCCCAGCAATGCGCCCGAGATGCCTCGCGGAGCTGCGGGTGCTGCCGGTGACAGGTGGAGCCCGCAGAGGAAGCAGCCAGCAGCATCGAAGGAAGGATGTTCGGGCACATGCAGCTGCCGGGAGATGAGGTTACAACTGCACAGCTAAACAAAGATCCCCGCGAGAAGGAAACGGATCCCTCCTGCCGCCTGGAAGGTAGGAGCCGAGCAGCGGCGGCTTGACATCATCGGGCCGAGCATTGGATTACAGCAGGCAGGGACTCAGCCGGCGGGGAGCAGAACACGCCCCTCGGCCCCACAAGTGCAACTTCATTTAGAGGCTCCCAGCGCAAGGAAGCCGCGAGTCTGGAGCTGGCTGCGGCCAACCTGGCTGGCGGGGCGCGTTTCCAGCCCCGATCCCTCCGGCAGCAGCGGGGCTCTGGGACTCAAGCAGCAGCCGGAGCCGTCGTGCCCGTAAGTGAATCGCGGGGAGCAGGGGGCCAGGGGCAGGATGCGGCTGGGGGCTGCCGATGGGTGGTTGCTTTACAGACTTAACTTCTACCTAACGGGCTGCCGGCAGCAGGATTTCGCTCCCCGCAAGCTGTGGGCTGAAAAAGCAAGGCTGCGTGCCGGCGTTGTGCCGGTGGCAGGGAGGTGGCTGCGTTTCACTTTGACAATCGCGTCGCGCCGGGCTCGCTGCGGAGGGGAGAGCAGCCTTAGAGATCACAAAGGACTGGCTCAGTGACCCCCGTGGGGATTTCTGGCCTCCTTTCTGCCGTTTGTCCATTTATTTCGAGACACTGGCCAGACAGGATCCCTTACGACACAGGGGCCACGCTGTGCCTGTCCGGGAGCAGATGCCAGGCTGCCAGACACCGGGCTCCCTGCCCGTCGCTGTGGGTTGGGGCCACCCCAAGCCCTGGCTCACAAACGGGGTGGAAGCAGGCTCAGAGACTCGCAGGCATCCAGCTTCCCAAGCAAGTGTTTTAAAAGGCACAGAGTTGGGATAAAAAAAGAACTGCTGCGTGGCGATATTCTCAGGAGGCTTTGAAAATTCCTCCACCTCGGAGCTGCCTGGCGCTCTCCTCTCTCTGGTTTCCCCTAAGCAGCTGGTAGCGAGCAGCAGCGAGCTGGCACACGAGTGCAACACCTCGGTCCTAGAGGAGCATTTGGGAAGCATTTCCCTTGCATTGGAAGAGGTAAATGTGTCCACGGAACAAGAGCCAAGCTTAGCTGTATTCCCAGGAGCAATGCCCCTGGCAGCTGTGACCGTGGGACGAACGAGGAGGACGTGCCAGTGCTGGATGAGCAAGAGGTGGCTGTGGCGGGGCAGCTGCAGCAGTGAGGACAGCTCCAGGGGAAGCGTAGGCTGGTGGCAGAGGCCGTCAGACACACGCAGCCCTCAGGCTCTGGGCTGTGCTTGCTCATGGCAAGGTCAATGTGCCCCATCCAGCTGGCTGTGGGATGTGCTCTGGCTTTGTGGGCTCTTGGCTGGAAGGGGCCACCTTGGTGACGTGGGGCCACCCAAGTGAGAAGCCATCAGGTGTTTACTGTGATGAGGGACAGTGTCTGGGAAATGAGGATGCATGAAGGGATCCTCTAAGGCTGAGTTAATTCATAGCATGGATGTGGATTAAATTGCTGTTTGCAAACACGACTACACCAAAGCTTCCTGCACCCTGAGCACAGGACAGGGCGCTGGGCTCCATGTCCTCCATGCCATGGACACTTGCCAGAGGGTGAGGATCTGGACTGGATGCCCCAAAGAGCTGGAGGCCATTAAAATAAAGTACATAGGCTGCTGACACAAGTAGCATCAGAGTAGAGATGCTAAAACCCAAAGAACCCTGCATCTATCCAACCACTTGTTATTTCTGTGCTCACAGTGGCTGATTCTGACGAGATGTAAAGGCTAAAATGAGCTAAAGTGCTATTTCACTTCCCCCCATTCCCTTATACCAAAGAAAAGAGAATTTTGAGCCCGCTTGGAAGCCTGCGCACAGACATGCCCCCCCCCAAAACACAGCAATGAAAAACATTTCCCAGGTTGCTAATGTTTCCTGGACCTCCCGTGTTCCAGGGCCAGTTATTGCAGCACTGATCCCTCCAACCTGCCTGGCTAACCAAACACCAGCATCATCCCTGTTTTACCAAACCAGGTGCTTTTCCTGGGCTCATACAGGCCTGTAGCAGAACCAGGGGATGAATCTGAAATTCAATAAGGAACAGCAGAAGCTTCAACACTGCTTTTTATTTGCCTTACTGCACCACCCCGATCTCAATTTTCATATTCAGAGCCTCGATCCAGCTGCTGCTCCACACTGCGGAGGGTTTCCTTCGAGTCACCAGAGCCATACAAACGGAACAATCCAGCAAACAAGTTTTCCAACACAGTACCCTGTTCCTTAGAGAGGATGAGAAAGGGGAGAAAAAAAAAAACACAACACACAAACAAACCAAACAACATGCTCCCAGCCAAGCCATAAAGGGAGGTGCTCCCAGAAGCTTACTGGTACCAGCTGGTGTGGTGGGGAGGGTCGGTGGCTGTGTGCACTTTGTCCCCAGCTCCTCCCAACGGCAGTGACAGAGACGCCGAGGTGTTGCTCCAGGGCTCAGCCTGGGACCTGTAGCATGAGCAGGAAGAGCAGTGGTGGACTATGAACCATTTATTCCCCCAGTTTCTAAACTGTCACTTCTTTCAAGCCTGCAGGGCTATGTACTTTGCACCACTCATTTCTGGCTTGCACTGTGGGTTCCTAAATGCCTTCCTTCCCGGCACAGCCCCAGGAGGCACAGGGCTCTCTGCCTCTCCTCCATGCCTGCACGCTGCTGGCCACAAGCTGCTGCCTCAGGAACTCCCAGGCCAAGACCCAAATGCCAACGTTTGTTGATATTGACAGTGATGTAATAAGCCAAACATCCCCACCAGAGCGTCATCAACTTCACTGGAATTACTCTTTCCACAAAGTAATCAGCCAGTGGTGCTCATTTCCTCTAGATATCCCTGGCACTCAGTGCAGAAGGTGCTGTGCTGGATGCCAGGTCGCTATGGAGGTAACAAAGCTATTCTGGTCGCACTTATAAGGATATTGCATTTCAAGGATTATAAAACCTCCTGGTTCAGGGCAATTAGTAACTGATGAAAAATATCCCATCACAACTATGAGTCTTCTTGCACCTCTGAGCCAAGGATGCCAGCTGCTGTTGGAGACAGGATACCTGAGCTAGACAGCCTTTCAGCCTGCCCCGGGAGGAGCAGTCTCCTATTCTAATCAGTGATGCATTTGGCCTGATGTTTACCCGTGAGTCAAGAGCTACGAGAACGACCTTCTGTTTGCTGCCATCACCTTGGTTGAAACCAAAAAAGGATTTCCTCTCTGGATCAAAAGCAACACCAAGACATCTGCTGTATAGAATAGGGCTGATTTCTGCCAAAAAGCACTCTGGGCTTCTTGGAACATGTACTCATTTTGAAGCAGTGCATTTGTTTTGTGTGTTCCTTCTGGGTAACAGCTGAAAAACAGTGAGAGAGTCTGGACCTCAAGCAGTGTGTATGTACCATGCTGATGGCAGTGCCCTTGTAATTCACTCCTCATTGGGATGTGGATGTTTAGCTATCCCTTGGACATTTCCACAAGGTCCCTAAATAACACAGTACCTTGATGCACTATAGCACCAGATTAGGAAGAGTAAAATATTATTTTAGAAGTTACTTCAGCCCATCCCTACCCTACTGCAAGGGCTAGTCCCCATCACCAGCCCCAAGCTCCCAGACCCCCGTGTGGGATGCTGCCTGCCTGTGCACATGGGGTCTCACAGCTCTGCACCCCCGGGGCTGGGGGAGCCAACAGAGGACAGAGCAGGGCACCCAGCTGCCATTCTGCAGGACCCCAAGTCCCCAAGGTAGGGCCATGGGGAGAAACATCCAGCTGGAGCCGCTGCTGGAGGGGTGGGAAGCCAAGATCAGTCACTAGTGGATCCCTCTCTCCAAAATCAGCTCTTTTGAGAGAAAACAGGGCTTCCCCAACATCCCCTCAGGACCAGGATTAGTGATGGCTCTTCTAGTTCAGAGCATCCTTGTTCCAATTTGCTTTAAGCATCTCCTGGCACAGGGCCACAGATTTGGAGAAGTTTCGCAATACATGCGAAGTGCCGGAGGTTTTGACATGGGAGCCGGAGGGAGGCAGGAATGCAAAGAGGGGAAATCGAGGATCGGGAATTTCCAAAGCTGGCTTTCTTCCTTCCTGCTTTTGTCAGTCCAGTTGGTGTCCCCAAAAGGGTGATGTGCATTCCCAGAGCTGTGGGAATGCTGTTTCTTTTCCTGTCTAGCATTTTCAATAAGCACTTCACTGTAAGTGGGGTAAACACTAACAGAAGTGTATTGTTAAACCCTTGCGCCTGTGCTTGGATACTGCCACGATCTTAATTAGTATTTTCCACTTCTGTAAGCCTGTCATCTGCAGATCTCAAAGCTTTACAAATATTTGAAACATCTCATGAGGAAAGAGTATTAATAGCTCCATTTAACAGATGGGCAAACTGACACACAAAAGCAGCAAGTGCCCTGTCCTTGAGGCGGGGCTGGAGCAGGCGAGCAATCCTCAGCTCCAACAACGAGGCAGCTTTAGAAGTGGGTCAAGGAACGAAGAGGAAGTCTGCAGATCTGTCCTGGTTTGGAAAATGACCAGCAGTCAGAGTGGCCCAGAGCCCAGGTGGACAAGGCAGAATTGCTGAATGAGCTACTGCTTGCTTCCTTACATGGTTAATCTCTTGCTTTTTGTCTGATAGTATGTGTCCATGTGTCCCTGGGACCAAGTAAAAAAAAAAAAAAAAAAAAAAGCAGTCCATGATGTTCCAAAAAGTCTGAAAGCTGAAACAGCTGCTAAAATAAGCAAGTGTCTTGTTGGCTGGGCTCTGCAGGTCAGGAGATTGCAAGTCATCCGCAGATGTTAAGGCCACAGAGGAAATGTCTTTGAGCAGGGCTTAGGGACAAAGGGAGAAGGCACAGCTGTGTGCAGAGAACCAAACAGCACCAGGCAAACCAAGGTGACTGAAGTACCAGACAAACTTCCCCCTTTTTCCCCTCAAAGCAGCTAACATGGAAGTTTCACTTCTTTAAATGGCAGTGGGGCTGCAAACCAATATTTATTTATACTTTTGTCACCAGCTCCGAACCCCCAGCCCTCCCTGTGGTGCAGGTCAGGGGACCGAGAGGCTTCGGTTCTTCCCAGTATGCTCAAATCAAGTTGTTGAAAGGAGAAGTAAAACCAAAAGGGAACTTCTGCGAGGCCAGGCTGCTGGTTGGGCTTTCTTTGCTCTTAGACCCAGCAAAGCAAACCACTTCTAATGCAGAAAAACACATGCTGAGAACATTTCTGATGAACCCGTGTCCTGAGGCCTCCCACTGCTCACCAACCCCACGCTCCCTCCCCGTTACACTCACAGGTGGTGGAAAAAGTTGCCAAGCTTTCCACCTCCTGACATGAGCATGGACACTATTTTCTTACATTTATTTTATTTTCCTTCCCCAGAAGCCACTGCCCTGCTGTGTATGAAGCTTGTCTGACGTCATGTCCAGAAGGAAAGTCAACTAACCCAGGTAGGGATTCACTCTGCAGACTGATAAGATTTTTATTCACAGGGAAGTATTATATAAACAGGGAAAAGATTTTTCCTTCCTGTTTTGTAAGAAGTCATTTGACCTTCTCTGTAGTCTGTCTTACTAGCTGCTAGAAAGTTGCTAGGAGGAAACCAATATCCACAGTTGTGCTGTAATGACTTCCCTGCTGCATTTTCCATACTTTGCAGCCACACACACCAAGCCGTGTCGTGGTGCCAGCTCCCTGGGCAGCCCTAGCATGAGCTGCATAGCACAGCCCTGCAGCGTGGCTGATAGCTCACTGCTCCCACGCAGCCATGCCAGTTTTGCTCTGTGGATAGGGTCAGCCCAGCAAGATGCAGGGAATCCCCAGCTCTGAGCCTTTCCGTGACACTTGTGTGAGTGGTGAGCCTGCTGGCTCAGACGATCCTCCCTGTGCTCTGTGTCTCCTGCTCAGAGCTTCTCAGCCCCATGTCTGGCTGTGCAGGTCACCTTGCTGCTTTCTCTCATCACTTACAGGCAGTTTGCACTGAGCAGGTGTCTGCAGATCTGGCACCAACACATCTCAGGGCTGGCTGGTGCACTGTCATTCACCCTGCAGGTCTCAGAGCAGCTCACCTACACCAACACCTTTCTGTGCATGCTGGAGACGCCCCATGCCCTTCTGTGCCCAGGCTGCGTTTCAGTGGACCATAGAATATTTGGCAACTCATTTAATGTGGCACTTTCCCTTCTGAGACCATAGCTTGCAAGGATCTCTGCAAATACACGCACAGTGTTTTGGTGCATCTTGAGCACCACTTCAACTCATGTCAAGATCTCACATCCCTGGTGACTCATGTGCAGGGACTTACTCTGCCTGCAGCAAGGCTCAGCAGCTGCTACACCTAACACAAACGTACCAGAAACCTCCCCCCACCACAGCAATGCTGTGAGGTGGGTGCACGGGGCTCCAGCAAGGCAGAACAGCCAAAGGGGCTGCTGCTTTCAGTGGGTCACAGGAGCCACGGGGTCACACAGAAGGACTCAGCTCAGCCAGCTCCTACCAGCTCTTCTTTTACTCCTACACTTCCCATTTCAGCTGTCAGCAAATCTCCAATAGCTGCAGCCCAGCCACTGACCCTTGTCATTGCTCCTATGGGGATCTACCCCCATTTCCCAAGCAACCACTACCCCTCTCCTCTGAGTTACATGTGTGATTTTTCCTCTGTGCAGCAGCACGAGTGAACCAGCCAGGAAAGCCCCAGGGAGCAGAGCTAAGCCCATTTCTGCTAATCAGCCTGCCTCATTCCACAGTGACACTTTTAAGAGCTGCCCTGGTTATTTTTAGGGCCCACTGGGAGCTGCAAGGGCTCTGGCCCCTCAGGAGGCTGCAGGGCTTCTCCCACAGCCCCTCACACCACACAGAGTGGGAACATGCTGCTCGGGTGTGGCTGTGACACTCGTGGGGCTGGATGAGCCTGCATGAAGCAGGGCCAAGCAGGTGTGTGCACTACAGCTAGATGCACTTCCACACAGCAGCTGAACCCAGCTGTCCAGAGGATTTGTTCTTTTTTCCTCTTAATACAGAAGTAAAAACCCAGGCCTACATACCTCAGTCTTCATAGAAAGGTCTTCCCCCAAACAGAGCCATCCCATCAAGAGCTGCTGGGCCTTCCCCCTCTTTTTATACAAACAAGGGCAGCTGTGCTCGAAAATAGGCCCCAGCTGCATCTCCTCTGGGCTGAGGGAAGCCCTCCTCACCTGGGGAGGCTGCAAGGTGCTGGTGTGGTGGGTGAGCATCCCAGGCAGGGATTGAGGAGGTCACAGTCTCTGAATTCAATGCCCTGAGGTACTCAGAAGAGTTGTGGGACCATTGGGTAGTTTCCAGCTTTTGTAGGAAATTTGAGGTGAAAGACAGCAGGGACTTTTCTTCCATAGGCCTGGATGGTCTGGGGGGAGGCAGGGGATTCGTGGGGATCTCCACTGCAAAGGAACCCATCAAATGGCTCCGACATGCTGGGACATCACAAGTGGGGACAATACAAGGGGTCCTCCTAGGACATGATTACAACAGCAGCTGTAAGACTGTTACAGCTGGAGGGTTTATAGTGTCTGGTCTGTGGTTAGGCTGTTTTGCAAATTCAGCCATTAGCAAATCTTCCACAGCCATGGTTTTGCTCATGTGAAAGTGCATTCGCGTACAAAGGCAGCTAAACGAGAAGTGGGGGGAAAAATAAAAATAATGCTGGGTGGAGCCCTCCGCTCATACTCTTTGCTTTGATGGGGTCTCTGTGGGGGACCGAGGGGTGGGGGCTCTTGGGACCAAGGGTGCTTGGATGAAGGGCTTGGGCTCACTGCTCCGCACAGCGCGCGTGGTGGAGCCGTGTCTGCCTGCACTGGGAGGGGAAAATAGGGGAGAGCAAGGCACCAGCTGGCCACAGCCCAAGGCCAACGTGTCCCCCACCATTTGGGTGCTCTCCCTGCATGTTGTGGGGCTGCCCCGGCCCCATCCCATGGCACTGGGGCTCATCCTGACCGGCCCTGTCTCCCTGAGCCCTGAGGGATGTGTGGCTGCCCCAGGGATGGGGACAGCGGCACCTCGAAGCTGTGGGATGCAGAAAACAAGCTCAACCTGGGAACAAAACACAAATACAACCGCTGTCACGGCAACTGGCTCCAGATGCACGGAGAGACCAATTATTTCCATTAATCAACTTGGTGAGAAGCTGCAGAAGAGGCTTAAAATGCAGATGAGGTTTGGATGCTGTGGGAAGGGAGGAGCCCCAGAAAAGCTCGGTTGCCAAGGAAAAATGTGATTTTTCCCCTCGCAGAGGGCAACGACTGGCATCCTTGTGCAGCCACCAACACAGGGCTGGAGCCAGAGCCAGGCCAATGGGGAGATCGGCGCTGAGTAATGCTAACAAAGAGATGTCATTGTGGGCTGGTGGGCTGAGCAATCTCCTCCGTTCTCCCACAGAGACCCAGAGCAGGGGTCCCCAAGAGCAGGCTGGGGATGTGCTGAAGGGCAGGAGTGAGGGAGAAGCTAAATGCAAGGGGTGTGAAGTCCTAAGTCCTACAGGAGTCAGGCTGAGCCACATCATAAATTAGAAGCTAAGCAGTGAGTTAGCAGCTCTACAGGCCTCCAGTGATCTTCCTGCCACAAAACAAGGCCAAAGCAACAGATGGGATCTGTTTTACACACTGAGCCTCAATCTCCCTGCTGTGCCTGTTCTGCTCTATGAATGATATTTTTCCACCAAGTCCTGGAGAACCCTAAAAGCTCTGTTTTTGCAGAATCCCTGCAGTGGAAGGAGACGCCGTGATGTCGGGGCTGGCTGAATTCACTTCATTTAGTGTCAGAGCCAGAGGGTGCAGAGTTACTACGAGGAATCCCACAGCAAAAGCCTTCCAAAAATACCAATGTGACATGCCCAACCTTGGCATTTCTTCACCACCACAGCGTGGCGAGGCTTTTCCACACCGCTCAGCACGTGAGATGGACACCCGTGCCTTGGCAGGAGATCAGGCTGCTGCCTGTTTTCTCTCCCAGCCATGAAATTGGGGGTCCCACTGCTTGGAGCCCATCAGTTCGGGTAGGGGCAAAGCCACCACCATGTTTTGGAGGATGCAGGCCCAGCAGGAGGGCAGGGGAGCTCTGTGCCTGGTGCAGGCCCCGCTGCCAGCCCTACCAGCACCACCAGGACTGGAGACCCAGCAGGGCTTCTACAGCGTCATCCTGGTTTCTGGGCCTGGATCAAAGCTCCAGGACATGGGGGTCTTGAGCTGTAGCGAGGTCGTAAAGGCACTGGCACAGGTCTAAAAATACTCCCTAGCCCTGATAACCACATTATGGAGCCTTCATCCTTTGGTGTGCAACCTCTCACGCATGTTCCCAGACAAGAGCCAGTGGAAAATTTGCTGAAATTCCAGCTGGAAGCTGTCAGACAGTTGGTGGAAACCCCCTGACCTCAAGTGCTGGCTATTGCCCTGTGGGATTTTTTCCCTCCTGGCTAGATGAGGCTCTCGCAGCAGGGAACCTCACAGCAGACCGCAGGGAGCACGGAAACCCTGGTGCTGCCTCTATGCTCTACCAGGCCCCCTCAGCAGCAAACCCTCTCACGCTGTAAATATTTTACAAGCCCGGCAGGGCTGTTGAGTGTGTTTTGCTGTTGTTATGGATCTGCCCCCAGCAGGAGAGGGCTAATAATAGTCAGGGTACCCGGGAATGAAAGGGCGAGGGGTGCAACGCGGAGCTCTCGAAGGCACTGTATGTCTCCATGCCCTCATCCCTGCAGCTTGGTGGTAAAGGGAAGAGAAGCAGGATGCGAAGCCTGAACAGAAAAAAGGGTCTTTATCCCTCTTCCCCTGCAAGGTTCAAACACAGCAAGGTTTAGTTTGGTTTGGGAAAAAGCTTGGCTGGGCCTCCAGAAATTCGTAGGCCAAGCGCAGCAGTTCGATCCTCTGGTGTGACACTGGGAGAGCAGGATCCGGCCCTGCAGGCACGGAGCTGTTGGTCCCAATTGCCGCTCGCAACGGGTGGTGGGAGCACTGGGGATGTAAGTGTGGGGGACTCCTGCACCTCAGGGCTCTGTGTCCCCTGCCAGCCCTTGCCGGCTGCCTGTTGGGGTCACCGAGACATTCTTCTGGTGTCCCAGGAGACAGCACGCCCTTGAGGAACGGGAACATCTCTGTGCGGCCCCAGAACTAACGGCAGGCACAGGCCCTGACCTGCCCAGCGCCACGCCTGGGAGCGGGGGAAGCGAGATAGGGCCCAATTTCATCCCCCCCCCGTGAAGGGAAGCCGTGGGGGCTCGGGCTCAGTACTGCAGAGACACCTGCTGCTGTTTAACCTTCGTGCCTCCCCCTTCCAGCCGCCCGCTGGGCTGGGCTGGCTCCCTCAAGGGACAAGGATGTCTAAGAAGTGCTCCAGGGTGTCCTGTAGCAGTAGGTGCCACCAGGAGGCGAGCAGGAATTTGTCTGACACAGACAGTTTATGCAGTTACTGCGAAGCCCAGTTGGTAGAGCAAAAGCCTGACAAGACCCTGAGGTAAGAAAGGCAGGCCGGGGGCAAGCTCAGCACGGCCATTCTGCCTGCTGGTAGCGTGCAGTCCAAAAATAGCTCTTCTTAGCCATGAAAATAGCTCTTGCTGGCTTACAGGTTAACCTAGATGAGGGACAGATGCAGTGTCATGCGAAGGGCTTCCTTTGAAACTGGAGTCCAGGGCTGGGTGTGACTGCAAAAATCCACCCGAGCCCTGCAAGCCATGGGACACAGGCCATGGGACATAAATGTGCGCTGCGGGCGCAGGGCCCTTGGTGTTTAACCCCCCAGGGGTGTTTCCAGGCCATTGTCCACCTCCCAGTGCTTGCAGTACCTGCGTGCTCGTAGTGACGGGCCTGGGAGCTGCAGAGGAGCAGGCAAGGGGGGAATGGGAATTTGGTGCTGGCTTGTCTGTTGGATAGAGAGGTGTGCCCTCCTTTCTGGCTCTCTTGCACACTGACAGGCAGAAGTATCGTTTAACCCTTTAATTTTTTAGCAGCCACACCTTCTGAATGGGTGAAATTCCTCCTGGGTGTGAGCAGGGCTCGCTGGTCTGCAGCAGGGAAGTTCAGACCCCGGAGAGCAGAGCCAGCTGCTTCTCCCGCTGCCCACGAGCTCCCCGGGGAAGGACAGCGAGCCCAGCTGGGGTCTGGCACCAAAACCTGCCCCAAACATCACGTCCACAGCAGCAGAGCCGAGACCGTTGCGGCTCAGATCTCCCATTTCGTTCCAGTCCTCACAAGATGCTATGGAAAAATAAGCTTGAGCCAAACAGCAGGCTTGGCAGGGCAAGGTTATTTCAGCAAGGCGAGGAGCTTTAAACTGGGGAGCTACCGCTCCACGACCGTCCATCCACAGTGACACGGCTCCAACTCTGCGGGCAGGAGGGAAGCATTTTTTTCTGATCCCTGGCCGATGTTAATAGATTTTTCACTGGCTAAACCCCACCGAGCTGGTTTGAGCCTGCCGGGAGCTGCAGAAAAATCACATCTCCCCTGAAAAGTGAGGCTGTGGCTCCTGGATGCAGGGGCTTCCCAGCACCCTGCTGGTCATGGGGGCGGGCAGGGACCCCCTGGCCCGGCCGAGGGGGGGCTGCAGAGCGGGACAAGAGTTTGGAGCAAGGGACCGGGACAAGAGCTTGGAGCAAGGGACCGGGACAAGAGCTTGGAGCAAGGGGCCGGCGCTGCGGGAAGCGGCCGCCCCGGCCCCGGTGGCGCTGCGGGGCTCCGCGGGCTGAGCCGGGCGGCAGAGCTCAGCCGCCACCTCCCGGCGGCTTCTGCCCCAGCATCGTCCCTGCTGCTCCCTACGGAGCTGCCGAGCTCCGAGGAGGACTTGCAAGGGGGCGGCTGAACGCTCGCCGTGCCCCAGGATGGGGCGCTTTGCACGCTGAGGTCCTCCAGCCTCGGCGGTGGAGGCTGCGGGTTTGAGGAGCTGGGCTTCCCAGCAGGCTGCCCTGGTAGGGAGATGAGCATTGAGCAGGATTGGTGCAGGAGCTGAACAAGCCTCTCAGTGGCATATTAGCCCTAAGACACAAAAGCAAGTGAATGTAAGAAACTGCATTTTTTCCATTAGATGCCGACGTTCCTGATCGGCACCTCCTCCAGGTGGAGGAGCAGGGCGGAAGGTGTTCTTTCCAGTGGGTGAAATAAGCCAACTGATAGCCTCTAACTTCCATGCAGAAAAAAACAAAACAAAACAAAACAAAACAAAACAAAACAAAACAAAAAACAACAACAACAACAACAAAAAAGTGCCAAACTCTGTGAGCGGGAGAGGGAACCAAAAGCACCGGGTTTCCATCGCCGAGGCAGCATGGGACAGCTAGCTCTGTGCCCAGGCGCCAAGACGCTTGCGGTACGTTCCTAAAGCTGCTCAGCTCCCTGCACTGTGTGCAGGACAAATGCTGGCAAGTTAAAGCCTCAGCTAAAATGAAAACCAACAGCTTAAACACCCACCAGGCTGGACCAAGAGCTGGCTGGCAGCTTGTGTTCATTGTGAACCTTTCTCTGCAGTCTGCACTTGGCACAGACAGGAGCGAAGGGATCCAAAAACCTCACAGAAAGGTTGATTTTCACATGGTAAAATGCTTATCAGAAAGCCGTCTCACCAAACTCTCTGTCCGTTACATGAATGTGACAAACACACCAGTGCTGATGTGGAGCACTCACTGGCTCCTGGAGCTTTTGGGTGGCTGCCTCCTGGAGCCCCATTTCTGATTACAAATTCAGGTTGGATCAGCCCCCCCAGTGCGGAGAGCCAAATTCAGCCTCCATTCAAAGCTCCTCAAATGGCATTTGGAGGAGGAAGAAGGGCTTGGGCCAGGCTGATGTTGAGCTGAAATGCTGAGCTTTGAATCCAAGACAGCCTCCGTTCCCCATCGTGCTGGGAAGCCAAGCAGCAGGCGCGTGGTGTGCACTGAGAACAAAGCTGGTGGCAGCAGAGCCAGCAGCGGGTTGCTACCTGAGATTTCAGTAGCTGCTCCACCTGGGAGCAGAGTTGTAGGGGCTTTTTTTTTTTTTTTTTTTTTTTTCAGGCTGTAATTTACCTGCATAAAGTCATCTAACCTGGATGCAGCCGTGCATACAGGGCTGAGCATCCTTGACCTCAGAGTTGTGTTTTCTCTGCAGGAGTTTGGATGTGCATAGAAATTCAATGGAGGTAGAGTCCAGCACATACACTGACTTTATTTCCTGCGATCGGGCTGGCCGGAGGAACGCTGTCCACGACATCCAGCGAGATGCAACCACCATCAGCATGCGCAAGCTGACCGAGGACATCAGTGACCTCACCGTCGAAGGGGCAGGTGAGCTGCCGCAGGCACTGGTAACCACAGCTTGTGGTGCCCAGCCTAGGAGGACACGTCATGAAACTGCAGCAAAGCAAAGTCCCTGGGAGCCAGGCACAATGGGGGGATGCTCAGGGGATCCCATCCCTCACTGCAGCCAGCAGGAGGCTCACAGGCCAAGGGCCTCATGCAACCAGCGGGGTGGTCCCTGGGGTCCTGGTGCAAGAACACTGCAGCCAAGATCCTGGTCCTGTTTTAACAGGATGAGCACCAACCAGCAGCCTTCTCAGGGCAACATACACATCAAAAATACCTTAGGCTTCATAAAATTCATGGGGTGGGAGCTATAGTTTGCTTTTTCCATTTCTCTAGTTATCCTTCAAATAGTATTTTATATAGGAACAGAATTAGTTTTAACCACCACCAGCCATCTCCATGCCTCCCCCATAGCCCAGACGTGGCAGGATTGCCCTGCTCAATGCTGCTGCCCAGCTGGCTATGGGATGCACGAATCCTCAGCTCTGAGCCTGAGGCTGGGTTCACTAACAAGCAACCAAACACAAAGCACAGCTGCAGAGAATAAACTCCTTTCCAGCCCCTTCTCCAAGCTGCACTCCGTACCTATAAAAATGCTTTAAAATGCATTACCCCAGCTGTACCTCTTCAAACATATCCCTAACAGCACGTGTCCATATACCTGGCTGCAATAAGGACAAACTGGAGCTCATCTAGAGAGAACCCGGGTAACTGCCTGGCTGTCTGCTTGGAGCTTGCCTTCATAAGTTAGGCAAGGAGAGCTTTGAAAGGGACTGTCGGTGTAGGACTGCTGTATTCATGCACCCTGCAGTCATATAAACTCTTTGCACCTGCCTTTGAGACCCGAGGCACCCTCCCAGCAGCATCAGATATTCTTCTTTGAGATGGGTTTGTGCTCTGGGAACGTGAAAAGACAAGCCTATACATTTAAGCCACAGATATCTGGCCACAGATAGGTGGCAATAGGGCTTCAGCTAGCGAGCTGCATGAAATCAGTGTAGCAATGACTGATGCCTTGTGTCCTGAGCACAGCGTAACCATGCTTTCCTCCCACTCCTCCCTCCTGCAGACAGCGAAGCACCTAGCACCTCTTCTGAGAGCGACCCTGAAGCACGACCAAAGGAGCAAGAAAACAAACCCTCTCCATGACAGCGTGCAGGGGGTGGGATGGGGCGGCAGGAGGGACTTGCTGTGAATGTTAAACGAGAATTTGCTATTGAATTTGTGGACAAAAGCCAACCTGGACCAGGCAGTTGTCTGTCACACACCTCTGCAGCCGCCGTTTTGTTTAGAGCGCCGCAAGATGCTGCACAAGGACTGGCACCTCCAAAAGACTTCTGCTCCCATCCCTAACGATTTAGAGCAACACTGCAGTGTTTGTAGTGATATGAGCCATTCTCAAGATGCCTTAGCTGCAATTTTCCCCTATGGGAAAAGGCAATTTCAGTAATAATATACACACCAGACTTTCCCGTCCAAGGTACCTTCCCACCATTGCAAATTTAGCCTATTATTTATTCTGTTTCCATAGATTAGAAGTTTAGACAATTGTTTTTTCCACTCACTGCCCTCATCCCACATTTCACAACTGAGCTGGCCTCCAGACCGCCCATGGGGCCGCTCTGCAGGGCAGGCAGCGGGGGGGACCCCGTCGGTCCCATGCATCCATGGCCAGCCCCGTGCAGCCCCGCTGCTGCTGCTCAGCACCAGGAAAGGACCAAAGCACAGCCCCGTGTGGACAAGCTCCACCGACAGGCGCAGCAGCATCAGCCACAGGCATCTTTTCTTTGGGTTTTAGCATTTTAAGGTATTGTTAAGGGGAGGGGAGAAACATTTTGCTGTTTTGACTGTTGAAATTCAGGCTTAACTTTGCAAGCTGTTAGCTGAGATTATCTCCGGTAGGATCTCACACCATTCTCTCTTTTAGGAGACATGTTTTGTGTTAAAGATGGTTTGATAAAACTATATAAGCTGTTGGAATAAATAACACAGCCTTCAAGTACCGAAGGTGTTCTGCCTGGATGGTTGTTCTTCCTCTGTTTCACCTTGTAACAGGTTGGGCTGCAAGGAGGTTACATCAGCCTCCAACAGGGAGATAGGGAACTGTATGACATGAGAGTCCCTTCTGTTTGGGGCTGTGAAACCTCCCCAAACATTTGCAGCTCCCAGTTAGAAGCACATTTAAATTTGGGGATGGAGAATGCCAAAAATCTGCCCCAACTTGCCCAGGTTTGCTGCAAGGCTGCGCTTTTCCAGGTTTGGTGGAAGTCAAGCAGGGTAAAGCTGGCTTAGGACTTGGCAGAGCAGCCGAGACACCAGGAGAGGAGATGCTGGTGGGAAGAGGTGTCCTCAGCACAGCACCGAGCTACAAGGACATCCATCACTCTCGTTTCACTCACTCAGGACAGATGACCCCAGCAGAGCTCTGGGAGATGGCCCCAGCCCCACAGGCATCAGTCCTGCAATGGACAGGGCAAGGCAGAGGCGGCCTGAGAAAGCCTCCAGCAATGACACGGGAACAAGCACCTCCTTGACAGCTTCGGGAAGAACTGAACGTTACAACTTTGAGATTTATCAGAGCAAACAAGGCCATAAATAAGCAGAGAAGTTGCTGCCAGACAGCGGGTGAATTATCTGCGGGTCTCCAAGAAGCGATGGCCGTGGGACCAGGACAGAGATGGATGTTGCTCCAGCCTGCCCAGGAAACAAGGAGTTGGCAGCCAGGTAGAGGCTGCATCTGCTTCCTTGGCAGCCCTACACGAGCTGTCCCCGAGCTGCCTGAATACTATTGCAGCTCTGTTCCCAGAAGGCGGCCAAGAGCCTGCTCCTTTTTCCCCTTGCTTGGGGGCAAACCAGCAGGTAGCTCCTGGGCTTGGCTGACACGCAGTTCAGTGTTTAGGCCCTATTTCCAGCTCTTGCCTCCACCAAGCAGTATTTTTGGCTCCGACACACATACGAAGCAAGCCGAAAGGCAGTGCAGAGGGACTGTGCACCACGCATGACCTCCAGCAGTTGAGAGAGGGCTAATCCTGGGTCTCCCTGGTCAGAAGATAGCTGCTGCAGTTATATTTAGGCAGATCACTAGTGATCCGCTGGCCAGCCACCCTTGGAGCACAGGCATCAGGTTCCCCCCACGAGTAAAAGAGCCGGGTCAGCTGCCATCGCTGCAGGACCAAGGGCACTGGGTGAGTCCAGCGACGTCCTGACTCGCAGAGCTGCTGGGTGCACAGATGCTCTGAGCCCCTGATTTCGGCTGGAAATCCAGGCATGCGGGACCTCCGCCAGCTCCACCCGAGCGCTAAGCGATGGGAACATTGATCAGAAAGCACCCAAAGCACCCTGCTGCCTGAGCTGATACCACAGCCCAGCAGCCTCATGGCCCAGACCGTACCGCTTCTGGCCCTCAGCATCAACAACGTGTGCAAAACTCAGGAAGTGGGGAAAAATATCAACGGTTTGTGATACATGATAGAAAAAGCGATAAGGATTCTGCTTCTAGGGGTAAGATATGCATTTCTGTGGTTACTGAAAAGACACGAGGTTGGAACAACTTGCATCAATAAATCCAGCTTGCAAGTCTAACAAGGGAGCACGAGTACCTTCCCTCTTCTGTGCCCTACATTAAAACTTTCAAAGCTACCTGCTAGCAGCAGGAGGCAGGAATTGGGCTGCCACACCAACCGATTGACCCCTCTGCCTCCAGCAGGGGTACAATGGCTCACACTGCAGCCCGCGGAACACGGCTCCTACTGGTGTCCCTTGAGCAGAAAGGCAAGAGGATTTCTGTTTTAATATAAATTTGTTATTTTATTAAATGGGATTAACAATCAACTGTCCAGAATCCAAACAAGCAGCTTCTTCAGAAACAAATTTTGGAGAAAAATTAACGCAAAAAAGCCTGGCTCCAACAGCAGCCATATTCTTAAAAGTGATGATTTATCGTTTGCTTTAAAAAAAAAAAAAAAAAAAAAAAAGGGAAGAAATTCACTCTCTCCTATCTATCTAGGTGTATGCACCACATATTTCAGAGACGAGTATTTTACTCAGAAGACAAATACAGAAGCCTAGAAAGAAAGGAAACATTCCCAGCACTCGGTCGCTGCTGGCTGAGGCTGAGCAGCCACTGTCCAGGACTACCACGGCCCTTCACCAAAGGCAACTTTTTGGTGTAGTATCTTTGGAGCAAGCACCTTTGTAGACGCCTGGGATGCTGAGGCATGCCACACACACCACGCTCCCTCCTCATGTACATCGAGGAGCTCTATGTCAGTAGGAAAACTGTCACTTCTCTGGCTGCATGGCTCTATTGCATAGTAAGTAAAAATACTGTAATGCACCAAAACGGCTTAGGAATTTTGGTGAATATTTCCTTGCAAGTTCTCCACCAAACTGAAGGTCTGACTCCTAGCCGGTGTTGTGGTTAAGCAAGAAAAGCAATTCAGATGGGACCTGAGTCAATATTTGATATTGGGCCCTAGCTTATTAATCACTGAGTTTAATTGTGCCGTAAGATTATGTCAGGAAAAGAGCAGAATGGTTAAAACAGGCAATCGAGCACAATTTTTCTAAGGTCCTAAACTAGGATGCAGGAAGAGCAAAATGCAGTTTACAGCAATCGTCTAGGATGAGTACAAAACTGGGAAAGTCCCAGAAGGCAGATTTGGGCCCAGAATGGTAAGAATCCGTTCCAACTTCCTATGCATGTGTGAGCACGCTCACGGTCAGCTGTGAGCTCAGCTGCAGCCCACGGGGTGCGCTTCAGCGGCAGCGACGTTGTAAGGCCTGATACACACATCTCCTTGGCTGAGGGAGGATGCCAAAAAAGGCCTTTTTTTTTTTTTACATGGAAAAAAAAAAAAACAAACACCTTCAGACCTGTGCACCAGCTTCCAGTTTGTTCTTGTCCTGGGCCTGTTAGCACAAGACTAACCACACGTAAACACAGCTGCAGCCAAAGCTCCCTACCCGCACGGATGGGGATAAACCCTCACACCTACTCACTCCCGACCTGGCACACCTTTTTCCTAGAACGGTGGAGATTAAGCCTGACAGTCAGAGCCAGAGGAGATTATTTCTGCACCACAGGCAAGGGCTAAGGCAGGTCAGCAGGACACGAGAGGTCCTTCTGCTCTCGGTTCTGGTACAGAGGGACCAGCAGCGAAGGGAAGTGTTAGGGTCTGCGTGCACAGCAGCAGAGGAAGCTGGATGTCCATTTGGGAGACAGTTCACGGGGGTGATGGGGGGGGGCGTGATTGGAGCCTGATTCTGCTTAGCGCTGTAAAGGTTTACACGGGATGCCAGGAATGGAGACTGACCCCAGGCACCTTCTGGCGCTCCCACAGCCCAGAGGAGAGTTGAGCACGCATGAAGAAGGGCCACGGCTCCACGCTGGCTGGCAGGGACGCATCACGATGCGTTGGGCACCATCCCGTAGGCTTCATACAGCATATTGAGAAGTTCCTGCTTTTCTTTCTCGGGTAAGAAGCTAGACTGAGCTGCGTTGATGTTCTGGAAAGGCAGATGGGGAACCGAAGGGAGACGTTAAGGCACATCGGAGATGAAGATGTGGCTGTACACATCCAAACCTCTCTCTGACCATCAGTGAGCCAGGGAAGGTGAAGTTTCCACTCCAAGATACATTTCCACAGCCTCATTTCCCAGGGCAACCATTTTGGCCCACCACTAACAACAACCCCAAAAGGAACAGGGCAAGCACAGGGAGGGGGCTTTCGATACTCTGGAGTTTGTAGGGTACACACTTTAGAGCTGTTCCTACACACCAGGTGTCCCTTTGTGCCAACACAGCTGGTGCAGGCAGCCTGATGCACGCTGCTGTGACAAAGCCCAGCTGCACAAGGGCCTCTCCAGGGACCTTCCTTTGTTACACAGAGCCAGGACGGCTTTTGCAAGGGCAGCAAAGGACAGCAGGCACCCAGGGACCCCAGGCTCAGAGCTGCCCTTGTTCTCCTGCACCCGGGGAGCCAGGTCTGCAGTAGGGGCTCCTTCCCTGGGGGGCTCCAGGCAGGACAGCACACCCTTCAGTGCACCCTGCATTTCCAATTCCAAGCACGTGTCTTTGCAGACATGGAGGTGGCAGTCACGAGCATGACTGAACGCTAACCAGGAAAGCTCCCTGGGTACGCGGATAAGCCAAACCCCCAACAGTTATCCTGTCCCTCTGCCTTGGGTGAGTAATTCGGAAAACTAATGGATAAAGCCAGGTTTGGGGATGTATTGAAAACACACAAGTGACTGCGCACCAAGCCAGCAGTCGCTTTGTTTTCAGTTCAGTTTACAAGCAAGCTCTTCTGTGCATGCTGAACCTTACTAACTTTCGGGCCAGGCCTTGAAATAACCTCCCTGTAATTCCAAATCCATGGAAAAAAAAGCAACAGGCAGCTTCCTTCCTACAGTTCAGATCTGTTTTGAAGACTTTGCTGGACCATTTCTACCCTAACCCATTCTCCCCAAAGCAGCCACACGAGGGCTGCCACCCCCAGTGCCCCCGCTGCACGAAGCCATGCTCAACCCCTCCTGCTCGCTGCACCCCCAGCAGGATTTTATTTCCCCTGAAAACTCTTCAGCTTATAAAGAAAACAAGCAGATGTCTCTGGGCTTCACCAGGACCCCTGCAGAGCACCAGCTGAGGCCAGCTTACCACTCTCTTGAAATCCTCGTCGGTGAAGCCCATGTAGTCCTTCGTTATGCCGTAATCCGTGTCGATGCTGGAATTGAAGATGAGGGGGTCATCGGTGTTTATCGAATAGTTAGCCCGATCCTTCCTAAATCTGTAAGGGAATATAAAAGCGGTGGGTGAAGCAGTTCATGCACTTCAAAAGGTGAGATGTGGTAAAAGCAAAATCCTCCCAGCAGCAAGGAGCAGAGTGCGGGGCGCCTGCTGCGTGTGGGTCCGGGCACCCCAGTATCACTCACCCACACCCCAGGGATGTACCACGTTGTCCCAGGTGGTTTGCATTTCCCTCCCACAGCAATAAAGCAGCTATAAGTAGCCAGGATTTGGGTTAATGACTTTGAGATTAAACGTTACGCGCGCGTCTTACTGCACGGCTGGGTGTTTCCTGAAGTCCGGCAGACATGCTCCGGTCAGATAACTGGACCAGGGGCAGACCTGGTTGGGGGAGTTAAAACAAACACGAAAAACAGCATCAGCCACACAGATCTGAACTGCAACTGTGAAGGCAGATAGCGGCGAGCAGACAAACCAGACGGAGGTTCAGGGCTTTGTTCACAGCCCGGGGAGCTCCCACCCTCCCCCCAGCCATGCTCTGGTACCGCAGCCTGCTTTGTGGGATAATTCTGCAGGCTTGAGGTCCGTGAATCAGCAAATAAGCTGTCCAAAACATATCCTCAGCCAGAACAGGATCCGTTTCCTCTGCCACATGCTTGCTGTGAGGCGCCATGTGCTCTGTGCGGCCCAGAGCCCGGTCAGCAGCCAGGCACCAGCGCCGCTCCTGCCGCGGAGCTCGGGGCACCCGGCTTCCACCGCAGGGTGTCCTCACCTCAAAGTGCATCTTGGTTCTCAGCAGCTCCTTGTAGAGCTCGGGGTCCTCCAGCACGTGGTAGCCATGGCCGATACGCTCGGTCTTCAGGAGATACACCGCCTGGAGAGCAGAGGGGAGCAGCTACAGCCTCCGAGCCGCAGCCCAGCTCCCTGCCCACCACCTGAACACTGAAACCCCTCGGGACTTCCCAACCCCGGTACCCCGAGCTGCTCGTACCTCCTTGATCATGGCAGGCGGCCCAGCCTCCCCGGCGTGGACGGTGCGATGAATGCCGCATCGTACGGCCTCCTGAAAGGCGAGGGAGGAAACGTTTCGGTGTGAGGGCAAGAACAAGCCAGCAGGCTCGGCTCCCGGAGCTCCCAGCCCATGAGGGGTCAGGACAGTAAGGCCAGCAGCAGCACTCAAAAAGCTGGGTCACCTCCCACACGAAGCTCCCAGCCTTTCTCCAAGGTTTTTTAATAAGCACTGGGCTGTCCCCTCCCCGGGGGCAGCAAGCCCAGGGCGCTCCTTCCTCCACCCGCTGGCCTCTGCCCATGGACTCACAGCAATTCCCATCTGTGGGGCTTCTTCCTACTCCAGCAGCAGCCACGTGGGGGGATTTAAAGCTGCTGGGGCAGGGGGAGGTGATGCTCGGCAGCCTTGGGGCTTTTTGGCTTGATGTGCCTGGCACCGTGCACTGAGCTCCAGCTCTCAGGATGCGGTTAGGCAGCGATGTCTGCCTTTAATCACTGAGATATAAACATGGGAGTAGCTTTGCTATTTAACGAAGTATTTTTAATTGCTAAAATCAATTTTGAAGCTCTCCCAGCTGCTTTGTGGTCTGGATACAGTGCTGCATGTCGCCTAGCCAGGAATAACTCAGTGTGTGCTTTCTTATCGCTTCTTTTAAGAAGCTTATTCGACAAACCTCGTAAGCCTCCTTATGGCCGGAGGTATCCTCCACCTTCAGCGACTCGTCCCCGGCCAGGTCTATGGCCACCACGGAGTTGTTTCGATACTTCTTGCAGAGCTCCACCACCTCTGGAGACCAGCCTGGAAGAGACATCAGCAGGATTCAGGACAAAGCTTTTGTATAGTCACACTTTGAGAATTTTTTTCTAAACACAGAAAAATAAATGTGCTTTCACGGTGTGGTGTCATGGAATAGTTGGGGCACCTCCAGAGGCTCCCTGCGCAGCAGTCACCCTGCCCTGCTGCACAGCGTCCTCCGCTCCCCCGGACAGGATGAGGGATGCTACTTCTGGTGAAAAGGAGCTGCACAACCTCCTGGAAGGCTGACCTTTAACACACGGTTTTATCTTTTTGGCATCAGTGGGAGAGAGTAGCAAATGGCCAACAACCACCCAGGAGTTATCTCTGATCAGGATGCAGCATAATCTCTGACAAAGCAAACCCATCTATTAGCTGATATTTCACCTAGCCTTAGCAAGAAGGCCAAGAAACAGAGATAA